GTAGAGAAATGAAATTTCATATTTAAGGTTTTTTATGTCTTAGATGTTTCAGCAACTTCTTCCTTAAAATCGGCTAACCAGAAATATCAACGCTGAAATACATTATTACAATTTTCTCATAAACGGCTTTAATGATTTTGATTAAACTCGGTGTATCATTGTATATTTAAGCGGTCTTTAATATTATTTAGGTCTTGTCCCCATTGATGTCACTTTACAGGGCTTAAATGCCCAATGTTCATATACGTCTTCCTCTAAAGTACCATTAATATGGTTTGTTTTAAATAATTAACTATTTCTCATTATTCAGAATTACGAAAAAATTCTAAATATAACTTTTGAAAGAATTTGATAATTAAACACAGGATAAAAATAAATAATAATGCTTACCCACGTCGAAAATGAATCTCCGAAAATACAAGTCAGAAGGTATACGTATATTATATTGTTGTAAATCCGAGAATTTTAGAAAAAAAAAATCTAATATAGAAAGTTGTAGTAGTTAATGGAGACTGGTGAAAAAATGAAAAATAATCCTTTTTGAAAACTAATAATATTTAACATAAATCACATGTATTCAAGGAAATCAAATGAAATTTAGTAACTAAATGTAAACATTTAAAATATATTTAAGTTTGAAATAAGTATTTAAAATACACCTAATCAAGGAAATGACATTGTTTAAAAAACTATTTCATTGTGTGAAATATAAAAATATTTCATGGATATGTTTTTTTTTTTTTTGTTTTTTTTATTTCTTTATGACATTTACAACTGTATTACATAAATACATCAAGTAAATTTGGACATAATTGATATAATGACATGAATACACTTGCTGAGTAACTACCCAATGGTAGCACTCTAATCATATGACTACATTAGGAGATCACGGGGCCATCTTCTTTTCAGACGCCTCGGAGGGTTATCAGGAATTGAAGAGGAAGCAAGGTTAGAAACGAGAGGGTTGGGATGATTCTGAAGTTTATTATGGAAGGATAGGTATCTGGATTGGGCCAGATCTGAAACATAAGGAACATTAAGATCTTTATGGATAATTTTATTAGTGACAAAGTAAGGAGCATTGAGGATTTTACGAAGGATTTTGGATTGTAAGGATTGGATGCGAGAGGAATTCGATGGTTTAGTGGAGCCCCATAGCTCAACTCCGTAAGTCCAAATAGGTCTTATTATAGTCAAGTATATGAGTCTTTTGTAATTAATGGGAAGTTTAGAGCGTTTGTCTAGTAAGTGCTGAAGTAATCGGAAACGTCGAGCGGTTTCTTGTCGTTTCAGTCTAGTATGAGGATTCCAAGTTAGTCGTTTGTCCAGGTGGAGTTCTAGGTATCGGATTTGCTCAACAGGGATAAGTGGAGTATTGTTAAAGGAAACTGTAGGACAGGAAGTCGTTGGTTTACGAGGAAGGGTAAAGGTAATTTGGTGGGATTTATTGGAGTTTATTTTAATTCTCCAGTTTTGACACCATTCTTCTAGATTTATGATGTGTGATTGAAGCATTTGAGATGCAATTGCTGGGTCATTGTTTACTGATCGGCATATGTGGTGATGACGGTGTTGGGATGGGTTGGGATGTCAGCTGTATAAACTGTATAGAGGATAGGACCTAGGATACTACCTTGAGGAACACCAGCGGACTGGGAAAAAAGGGATGAATAGGCGTTATTGTGATTTACTTTAAAGTATCTATCAGTAAGGTAAGAACGGATAATGAGGAAGTATGTAGGTGGTAGGAATTTTCGGAGTTTGTACAGCAGTCCCGGGTGCCAAACTCTATCAAACGTCTGTTCAACGTCGAGAAAGACTCCCGTACAGTACATTCCGCGCTCCAATGCAGAGGATACTACGTCTACCACAGGATGACATTGCTGTATAGTGGAATGGGAAGTTCGGAAACCAAATTGGTGATCTGGGATTTTGTGTTTAGAATTTAGGATAGGGTACAGGCGTTTTAAGATGAGTTTTTCTAGGATCTTGCCCATGATGGGTAAAAGAGAGATAGGACGGTAAGAGGATGGGTATTCTGGTGGTTTTTTGGGTTTGTGGATCATTTTAACAATAGATCGTTTCCAAGGATCAGGAAAATATGTAGAACGGAGTACAGCATTATATATGTAAGTAAGGAATAGGATGGCTTTTCGAGGAAGAAGTTTTAGGATCTGGGATGTAATTAGATCATGTCCAGGAGCTTTACGGGAAGGCAATTTTTGAATGATGTTGGATATTTCTATGGGATGAAATGCTTTGGGTGGCAGAGACATTTGGAGAGGAATAATGGATATGTTTAAATCTTTAAATATATTTACTGTAATTTAAATATATTTCATAACTTTTGATCTGTTTTTATATTTTAATAATTAGGTATCTATCGTTCGTTTATTTCGAAAAATCATCATGTAACCTTTTAGAAACTTAAATTAGTGAATAATTTGATGAATTTTTCCTTTGTGATATTCCAATAGTATCCACTTATAATTAGTGTCACACCTTTTTGACATATCTATGACAGACAATGCAAATCTCTTAATTCCATTTTAGTAAAATTCGCAATATAAAATAACAGTTAAATAATTAATAGTAATCCATAATCAACCGGTGAATAAATAGGCCTTTTGTTATATTAATGGTATTTATGATTTGTTAGCTGTAAGGTTTTAGCTTTACCTCAGTTAAAAATGTAATTCAAACATTTTATAATAGCCCAACATGGCCAGAAAATAATTTCTGTTCAAAGTTGAGTGCTAAGTTAAAGTTGTGTGTAGCGCGCACCAGATTTTTAACCTGGTGAATGTAAATATACCGTTTAATACCCCACAGGCAGAGAACAACTGTGGTTCTTACTGTCAACTCCTGAGGATGCTGACCTGCGTTGCGGTGTGGTAGTTTGCGGCTAGTGACAGGTCCTACTTTATGTCAACTATATTTATGTAATATCTACTTTCACATCTAGTTACAACGGTATATGAAATTTTAAAAACCCGTTTCTTCTTAAAATATAGCCGAATACTTAAAACATATATAAAAATCTAACAACTCCCTCATTTAAACAACTTATGCTATCTGGGCATCCTCAACGTTGACAACATTTGTTTGAAAATTAAATTGTAGCTCTAATTTTTAGCTTGTAAGTTCAATCAAATAAAAAAGGTGAGCCCTATCACCTAATGATTACACAGGATATTTCCATGAATAATAATAAACAATAAACCTCATTAAAATGGAAACGTGCAGAGAAAGAAGAATTCCAAGACCTCGAAAATGCTACAAAAAAAAATTATGTGTTGGGACGTGGAAACAACTCTTCATCAAAACAGTACACGACACTTCGTGGAAATAAGAAGAAACGTAGGTTTTATTTAATGGGTATACAAGTATAGCTAATACTGTATTTCATGTTTAAATATTATTTTATTTATTTATTTATTCAGAAATATTACAATCTGTCACAATGAAGGGCATTTGTAATAGTGTTCAGAGAGCGCATTTACACTCTATTAACAATAAATGAAAATGAAATGGATTCTGTAAATATTGTATAGTATGCATGTGTCTTAGTTGTTATTTTCATTAGTTTAGTTCTTTTGTTTATATACATTTACTTTTGGTATTATTATTTTCAGAATTAGTTATTTTTATTTATTGTTAATAGAGTCTGAACGTGCTGTCTGAACACTATTATAAATGTCATTAATTGTGACAGATTGTAATATTTCTGAATAAATAAATAAAAAATATTATTTTACATGTATTACCTACAACTGAAATTGGATAGTAGCTTGAATGGTACCCGAGTTATATTCTATATCTGTGGTGTACGGAGGCATCCTGATGGTACTCGAGGATAGATTGAAGCGACTCATGAATACGTGCTTAAGATTTGCCTTCGGTACATCAAAGCGATCTCATGTGTCCCACCTTTACGACGAGTTAAAGTGACTCTTCCCTTCTTTCCGCAGACAATATTTCCTCGGATCTTTCCTATTCCAAACAATCAACACTAGGCACCCTTCTTACATCTACAGTCTCCTACAGTTTAAACCCGTGGTCCACTCCCAGAAAACAAGATCCCGTGTTTCCGACCTTTATATCCCTTCCCATAGAACTAAGACGTTTGAATATTCCTTTATTTCCCGATCCACAGCCTTCTGGAATTCCTTGCCATCTGAAATCCGTCATACCTCTTCCTTGTCCTCATTTAAATATCATCTTTACCAATTCCTTCTCACATCCCAAAATGACGTTATACAATAAAATAAATATTGTGAAACAGATTTTGACTGAGGCGAATGATTGATAAAATTTATTGTCTTAATTTTAAAAATCAACCCATGCTTATCTTATTTTATTTTTATTTTCATTTAAATAATGTTGTTGTTTTTTATTTCGTTTTTTCTCAAAATTTTATTTTATTTTTACTTATTTTAATTTAATTTCACTGAAGATACTGTATATATTCTTTAATATTGATTAATGTAATTTTTGGCCAGATGTAGTTTTAATTTTTTTGTTCATATCTGTTATTTATAAGGGACCTTGTCCCAGAATAAAGTTTACTTTCTATCTATCTATCTATCTATCTATATAATTAAATAAGAAAAGATATTAATTTTATTTTGTAAATATAATTTTTTTCAATCTATCATACTAACCGGATATGGGTAAAATGAATTTTAAATAAAATAATTATAATACTTGTAAAATGTGTACTTCGTGTTTTTACAATACATTTTAATTACAAAGTATTTAAATTGTTTTCAGAACTTTTTTACGGGCAGTGTAAGGTCCGCTTTAGATAAGTTGATATATAAAACACCTGTGAACGTAACCTTCCATCTATCCACATTTCATCTACAGTTGACTTCTATGCAAGACTGTACAATTAGTTTAGCTATTTATATATTTAGAGTGTATGACAAAGTATTAAAAACATACCAGTAATATATTTTCATAACAATATTTTATTGTTAAAATTTTTTGATATGTTAGGTTAGGAAGAGGGAATGAATGGAGGTGATAACCAGGAGGGAATGCGGTAAACTGCTCGTTAAGATATCCGCCGCAGGGGGGAGCCACCTTCCGACAAGATGGATGGATCTCAAGCCATCCTATGAAAAATGATTTACCGATTTTATAAAGGTTCCTGAAATATATGAATATACCAAGGCCTGAAGTCGAATTATGCAAAACGGGCAAAGTTGATGAACCTTATACATCATTAGAGATCTATCAACCAAGATGTTTCAAGATATTTCTATAAACAAGGAGAAATATATACAGAAGGTAGAGGGAACTATTTAAAAGGTTGATAGTAGACATCAAGATCTAAAAAAAAAGTTAATATAAAGAATTGTTCAATTTCCAGCAGAAAAGTGGAAATTTTAAGATTTTTTCTTTATTCGTCACGTGATTTTTTGTTGAATAGGAAGCGTTAACATAAAAAATATTTTATTTAATTAATTAAACATTGCTCCATAGTAAACTGCAGGTTTATTTATTGTAAACGTAAATTTTTGTAAGAAAGGTTATGTTTGTCACTGATAAATACCTCAATTCCTATGACATAGATCAGGGAGAAAAACACAATTTCATAGCCAATTTAGTTACGTAAAAAATGACGGAAGGAGATGGTCCGGGGGCGGTCATAAACAGGCTAAATAGTGTCAAAACTATTTTATTAAAATCCAATGTTTCGACCCGATTTCGCAATTCTTCTTCAGGGCTAGAACGGACAAGATGCAAAAAGATATATGCAAAATTGTGAATGTTACATAAAGTTTATGATCTTTAGTTAAAATCTTGTTACTTAGCTTACTCTTAGTTTATATTTTAATGTACTTACTGTTTGTAATTTTAATAAGCTTATTCACATTGTTTATAATGTTTTGTCTAAATTTTATGCAACTTTTACAATTCTCTATATCTTTTTGTATCTTTTCCGTTCTAGCCCTGAAGAAGACCTGCAAAGTCGGGTCGAAACGTTGGCCTTTAATAAAATAGATTTGACACTATTTAGCCTGTTTATGACCGCCTCCCCGGACCTTCTCATTCGTTTATAATGCAACGGTCAATCATTCAATATTCAATACGTAAAAATTTTTTGAAAAATCATCATTTTTTTTTTTTATAAATTAAATGTTTTAAACAATTATGTTTATTACAATACATCTCATATCACAGCAATACAAGAAATAAAAGTTTCGCAACATTTAATTTTATTTATTTTTGCAGAAAACAAGGGAGCTTTTAGGTGAATAGATAGAAAATCACATCATTTTTTTGCACAACTCGAGGTGAATCTCAATTTTTTCCCTAACAAATCCCAAATTAATTAATATGAATTTAAGATTTGTCGAACAAGGAGGTTTTTAAAGTAGTGTGAATTTAGTGCAGTTGTTGAGTGATAATGAGTTTTTCAAATGGAACTTAGCTGTGTTCGTTGGCTCAATAGTCCTCTTTAAATAGTTTTACCAATAAAAAACTCTACTTAAATTAAAGTTTGTCTAGTTTACTACGGAGTAATGTTTAATTAATCAAATCAAATATTTTTATGTTATCGCTTCCTTTTCAACAAAAAACGTGATTCGCTTAAAAAAAACACAATTCTTAAATTTCCTATTTTTCTGCTGGAAATTTGGCAATTATTTGTATGAACTTTTTAGTTAATCTTGATTTTCACTATCTTCCTTTTAATTATTTCTCTCTACTTAAGGGGCATCATGCATATTTTATCTGATTTCGCCTCAATATTTATCTTTATTCTCTATTCGGTTGCATATTGTCATAATTTCTATGGCATATTATTGTAATTTTATGACATATTATATGCCGTATTTCAATGATGCGTATAAATCCGAGATTTATTTATAAGTAAATAAATATTTGTTGTTCATAGAATTCGTTAGAATTGTGCATGCTTGGCAGTCTGAAATACAAGCGGGTTGCGTTATGGAGCCCGAGTGGGTTAATACAGAACGTCCTCATGATCTTGATGCTTTTGCCATTATCTTTTTATTTTCCTTGGAACCACTTCACTCATTGCTAATAAACAGTGAATGTAATACAATATTTTTAAATTTTATTTTATGTAATATTTTATGAACTTGCTGATTTAAGTAATCCTTACTATAATATATAGTCCCTATAATAATATAATTTTTAATAATCCCCAGCAGTTATTATAACAATCAGCAGTTGCCGAATTCCGGATCTAATAAATTACCAGTCTCATTAGTGGTAAAGAGACTTTCCTAAGATTTATTTCATTGGTTTTCAGGCGAGGTTTCGATGGAAGGATAATGAATCCAACCTAAGCCGATCAAAGAACCATCCACAATTATCGGGCTCTTTTCCTATTGCTAAGAGGGCTAGAGTACTCTTAATAACTAAATTTTATAGATATATCTTTTATGAAGTGAAAGATAAGATAAAAAAAAAAACTTTTTAAAAATAATCGTCTTCATCTCAACATGAATACAAATTCCTAATCTAAAAGAAACCCACTACCTCGACCTATGGACTAGCCCTGTAGAAGACCGCTAAATTTTCTAATATTAAACTCTTCAAATCCTTCCTGTTAAATAATAATGTAATAATACTTTGAACAATAGTAAATTCCTCATTCTATGGAACAAACAAAACCTTATACCACGGCCTTAATATCCCATTTTTTTTAATACCTTATCTAAGAAAACATTTCCTACAACTTCTTAAAGGTTGAAATGGCAGTGGACTCGCGACCTTTATTAATACGAATGTATGTTCCTTTGAGACAGATCGTAATATTTTTCATTAAATAAGTTTTAAATAAAATATGTATATATATTGGAGTTTTGGTAATGGCTACATTATTGAAATGAAGTGAAAATGAAAAGAAAAAGTAAATTTTATTTATAGCAATGCAGCTCTCTAAGAATAATTATAATAAACGATTTAGTGACATTTATCTGGCATACAAGTTAATCATAGGTTGGGGCTAATTATTCATAAATATAGATTTTAATGAATGACACAAACTGTCTTTAGAATCGAATTAGATATGAAAAAAAGTGATACAGTTTCTTAGAATATATAGGCTATTAAATAGAAATATAAAAATAAAATAATAAAAATAAAAAATAAATAATAAAAAATATAAAAATAAATATAATTTTTATTTTATTGTTCTGTCTTTATTATATTTATTTTGATATATTTTATTTTTCATATGTTTTTGAATATCTTTTTAATTTATTACTCTATATATTAATAATTATTAATTCTCCTCTAAAGAGTTTACAAATATAACCGACTCACAGGCATTGATGACCCTAGGGTTTTACGCCTTAAAGCCTAAATAAACAAACAAACTGTCTTTAGAAGATCGTTAGTGAGGTTGACCAAAGCCTATACAAATGATTCTAAATGTAAAGTACTGGTATAAGGAGAAATATTTGAATTCATTGAAGTGCGAATAGGTTTGAGGTAGGGATTCTCGCCTATGGTGTGTAACTATCAATGATAGACGCTTGTAAATAGATCTTTCTTCTTCTGTTTTAGTCTACTGAACTCTCGAGAAATATACATCATGAATCTAAGCTATGGGTGTACAACGCTGTGATAAACCCAATTCTGTTGTATGGCTCTGAAATCCGGGCACTAACTCCGCACGATAATTGGAACCTTGAGGATCACTATACTAACACATGGAGGAGAAGTGCTGATTACAGAACCTCGTAAATTAATAACTCATGATATGATGGCAAGGAAGAGGAAGTAAAGTTTAGAATCCGGCCTGAGCGAGTTGGTTTTTATTTCGTGACGGACCTTACGGAATGAATCTCGACCTTCCCACTATAGTTACAATACGTTTCGTTGAACCTCTAAAACAATCCTGAATGCCGGCGATGGTGACGTACAAGATAATAAAAAAAATGCAGAAGTGGAGAAGGTTGGTTCAGGGGGCCTAAGAGCTACAAGATCTTTAATTCCAAAAAGAAAAAAAAAACTAAGTGCAACTTCAACTTTGACTTAAAATATTATTAGATAGATAGATAGTTTATTTTATTTGTCTAAGGGAATTCCTGTACAAATAAATATAATGGTATATTTAACAATGTTAGATCTTGAGTCTAGTACTGCATTCAAAGATAACATTAACACTGTCCACAGCATTAAGTATGACTAATATAATAACAGATTAGTAAACGATATATATATATATATATATATATATATATAATATATATATATATATATATATATATATATATATATATATATATATATATATACATAACAATTAGTAAAACATTTTTTTATTTATTTTTTATTTTATTTTTTTTTAAATATTCGAGAGGCATAAGACAAATGACAATATAAATAAGAATTAATATATGTTTTATGGTTAACTTTACCACTTAACAGTTCAATGAACAGCCCTGTATGAAATGATACAGTTGGTTTATTTTTTTCGTAGTGTCTATTTTCAGTATCTCCTCCACACTAGCATCTTCTCTGGATTCAGTAATAAATGCCTTCAAGTACTTATTTCTCGGCTCGTTGAACTTGATACATTGGATCAGAAAATGAGTTACCGGGTCAGTTACAAGGCAGGTGCATGCACCACATACCTCACCGGATTTAATAGTCGAAGTAGCATCTTTGAAGTATATTTTCATAAAATCTTTATTTGCTACTCTGAGACGACTAACGGCTCTTAATTTGTTTAAATTCAGAGCCCTGAACTGAAGATAATCCTCTGGTCTGGTAACATTAAAGGAGCAGATTTTTCTATATCTTGGATTTGATTTAGAGTTTAACACTCTGTCGATATCGTTGGATGCGTGATGGTTTCTTATTTTTTCCATGATTTCATCTTTGAACCTCATCAGACCTTGAGAGAAAACACAAGAAAACAGCCCCTGACATCCAAGTTCCGCCGCAATCATCTTTACTTGGGTAACCCAGTTATAAGTTGGATCAGGTTTTCCAATGGATGAGTCTAGAGCTCTAAGCCTATTAAAGCATTGTCTAGGTAGTCTTTCGTCACTCATTAAGCTTAGCTTTGTCCAATAGTTGATCACTTTTTTCAACACTTCAACACTTAATGGAGATCTCCCACTTTCAAGGCGAGCCACATAGTTCGGTGTATTTCTTGGCCAATGGAGCAATGAATGATTTGATAAATCGAACTTGCGTCTTCTCCAAAACCTCCAGGTATCTCGTTCCCCAGATCTCTGCAGCATAGAGCAGTGTTTAAAATATTATTAACTTTGTATTAATCGTCAGATTAAGTTTAATAGATTAATTATAATAGCTTAAAACCTTCAAGGAACAAACACGAACTACTTTGTTAAAAAAAAAAAACTATTTGTAAATTCATTCATTGGCTATAGCTGTTGCAAACGGCTGTTTATATATATATATATATATATATATATATATATATATATATATATATATATAATGTATTAACTAAACTTCCCTTTCGGGATATTTTTATATGCCTTTATTAGTTTTTTTAATTTTTTCTCAATCTCTTCCAGATAAAATCATTTTTAACTTCGTCGAATTCAGATATTCCTGCCGTTTGTCGTCACTGAGTCAATTTTTTTTCTTTTTTAAGGGTTAATGTCACGACACCATAATACTTATTCGAGCTTATATATTATGTTTTTCTTTGCCAATCCTTCTTTCATTTTCACATCACAAGGAGATAATGGTATTGTATAAAGAAATATATCAGATTGTTATTGAGTTATATAAATAATCATAGTAAAAGCTCCATTATTATTCAGTTACTTTATCGATTTGCTGCCATTGAGGTAGGCAGTTGAGATGGGATATGCAGTACAGGTCAGCTATGCGGAACGTTATTAATATACATCAGAGGGTGTTTCGTAATTGCACGGCACTATTTTAGGTATGTCTTCACTAACACAAAATAAACAGAAAGTTCATATTAACATATATCTCAAACTCATTTATGAAACAGATATCAAAGTTTAAAGATTTATTATTTATTATTACTATTTATTTATTATTATTTTAACATTTAGAGTAACTGTTCAAAGGGGCCTCCGTTTTGTTGAATGCAACATTCAGCACGACGAATCCATGCTTCTCTGGCTCTTCGTAATGAATCACGATGGTGCTTGATAGTTACTGTAGTTAGTTCCACAATTCGATTTCTTAGCTCTTCTTGCATGCCAACTGCCGCAGAATAAACTTTAGACTTCATCCAGTCCCACACAAAATAATCTAATGGCGTTAAATACGGAGATCGTGATTGGCCATTTAACAGGTCGGTTTCGACCAACCCATCGGTCTCCATAAGTTGCTTTTAAATAATCAGTGACACTATTAGAAAAATGAGCTAGAGAACCGTCACGCATAAACCACACCCTTTGCCTAATGCCTAGCGAAATATCTTCCAGGAGTTCATGAAGATTAATTCGCAAAAAATGCACGTTAAGATATACCTGACAGCCTAGGTGGCAAAAAGAAGGGGTCGATGATGTTATCGCTTGGAATACCACACCAGGCATTTAAAGAAAAGGTATGTTGGTTATGTCCAACAGCAGTCGTATGAGGTTTTCTTGAGCCCAAGTATGAGTATTTCGAAAATTAAGAATCTCGTTTCATGTAAAGCAAGATTCATCAGTAACCAAATTGCAGTCCAGGAAGTTAGGATCTCGAGTGTATTGTCAAATTAACCACTGGGAGAAATTTTTGCACTTGTTATAGTCTTGTGGTAACAAATCTTGCCTACTCGATACGTGAAATGGATACAATTGTTGTTCGTGTAAAGTTCGCCATACGCTGGTAGAGGAAACATCGAAACGACGTGACAATCCTCTGGTAGTATCAGATAACTGAACAGCATCGAATATTTCTTCTTCAACGTTTGCAGTTCGTCGAAGTCTTTGTCGATCGGCGTTTACTCGTATAGGTTTTAGCGTTTCATTATCCCTAAGGCCTTTACGATTTAGGACTTTACTTAAACGTTATACGATTTGGTATCCTTCGGTTAGGAAATTTTTTTCGTGCACTTACGAAATATTCTATATGTATTTATATATATATATATATATATATATATATATATATATATATATATATATATATATATATATATATATATATATACATTATTTTCAAATATTAAATATTAATCTGCGACAGTTGATGAACTTTTAACAATCAGCAGATGGTCTGATAATAAATTATGACTGGCAAGTTATGCATGAGGAAGCAACTCTCTTCCACTGCTTGATTCAATTACCATGGCTTGATAAAGAAGGAGGTCTCCCATCCAACGTCTTTTTAATCTCCTCCTCTTATTGATGGGCACGTCAGCTGAAGCCATATATTTTATTATTTTGTTAATATGTCCGTGAAAATTAGTATACAATCTTTGGTAATGAGTTCTTATGTGTTGGCTGGTGAAAGTCTGTACGTAAGGTTTTGTTAGTCATGTTCCAAGGTGCTTTCATTAAGTTGTAATATTTTTGATTGGAGACATTTGAGAGAGTAGTGCACGGTTCTCCTCGAGTCCTGTTGTCCCCTCCGTAGTCGTAAATAGTGTGTGGATATGTATGTGTTTTTTTTTTTTTTTTTAATTTCTGTATTTTTAAGTTATTTTATTTATTGTATATACTTTTTGATTATTATTTAGTTGTTATTTTACTTTTATTTATTTTTGGTGCATAATATATTGCGAATGTGATCTTTCCTCACTATAACCAATGTCCAAGTGACAGAGTGTTGTAATATTCAATAAATAAATAAACATTTAAATAAACAGAACATTATTTTTTCATATTATATCTGACCTAATCTTAAAAAATCAGATGAGTCTAATTCAATATTTCATTTTTATATTGATATGAAACTTGACTTTATAAATAAAATGCTGCAATTAAATAGTTTCCAAACAAGATAAAAGGGCACATATTTACCTTATTAAAGGTAATCGGAAAGAGTTGAGGAAAATTTTACACATATTCGTTTCAGAAGGTTGATTATACAATTTTTTGCGTCAAAATCTGATTTATAAATATGAATTTTCTGCTACATTTAGGCATTTCCAGCGGCCAAATAAAGTGCAATTCTGTTCTTTTTTAGGAAGAAAAATGCCAGAGAAGTGAGAGTAAATTTCAATAAACATTCTGATACGTCTAGACGATTTTCTTCCCCTTTTTTAATATTTGACTCATCTCTGCAGTCCCTTCAGAATGAGTTAGTGGATTAAAAATTTAGGTATGAATTTATTTGGTGGTAATGAAGTGGTTTCAGTTCGCGTTACATACCTTCATACCTTTATAAAAAATTAGTGATTTTGATGTCCCTATAAATATAATGACATGAGAGGAATGAATCCCCAGCGTAATCTCTTCCTGGCCTAAAATTGACATTAATTCTCCACCGGCTTTAGCACCAGTGAGGCGGTTGAGAGAGTAGCGCAGGGATTCGGGTTCCCTGCCGGATTGTATATATTGTATATAGGTATGACTGTATTTTTATGTTTTTAATTTACTTATATTTAGGTTATTTGTCTTTTTTATTGTACATAGTTTTTATTTATTATTATTTAGTTATTATTTTACTTTTGTTAATTTTATTTCTTTTATGTATACACGGTGTGAATGTGTTCATTTATCAATATAATTATTGTCCCTGTGACATAATATTATATATCTAAATAAATAAAAAAAAAAAAAATTAGGCGAGGAGGACCCTCATCCAGCTTCTTTTCAACTTCTTACGGACGCATGAGTGTTGTGGCCATGTTATTTATAAGTATGTACGGGTGTCCTTGTGATTTGTCATAAAATCGTTCTTATGTGTTCATTACATTTCAAGCCTGTGTGTAACCTCATGTTGCGTGTATAGCGTAAGTGCTTTTGTGATGTCTTGAATGTTTTTGCTGAAAGATTTGTTAAAGTTTGTTAATTTGAGTCTTTTTAGCGGTTTTAGTAATAAAGTGTATGTGTTCAATTTCTATCTATGTTTTTGTTTTAGTCTTTCTAGAGAGGTGAATCAAGATGTCTTAGTTTTGTTTCATTTGTAAGTGATATGTGGATTCTACTAAGGCACGCAAGCGGACAGACCCTTACTAGACGTATACTTGCACGAGAAACGCATTTACAGTGCACTTATAACAAACTCATTGGAAACCAAATAGTTATAAAATCTAAAGAACTTACCAGAAGTTTACTTACCAGGAAGCACTACCATACTTTTAAAAATCTAAAACATAATCCTTTGTACGTAACTCACAAAATTCAACATGTCTTCACGGACTTGAGAACGTACTGATACACAATAACTGTGAAGTGATCAAAAAGAAGCTGGATAATACATCTTTTCCCCCAGAATTCAGTTACTAAATCAAGACCAGGAAGAGAACAATTTTCAAAACCATGATTGTATTTGTGGAAATATCTGTGGCTTCGATTTTTCAGGCATCATATCACACAACCGCAATTGGCCAAAATATTAAATAGTTTTTTATGATTTTGAAGGGAACAACTTAAAAAATAAAAATAAGTAAAACTACGTTTCAAGGATTTGCCTAACTGGTTAGGGCAATATTACTACTTTGCCTCGGCATAGGAGCATAAAAAAAATATCCCATAAATAAAAAAAAAATTATGGACCAAAATCAAGGTCATATAAACATTAGATTATTTATTAACGAACACAAGTTATTATTATTTATTTTATATTATTTTCTTCTTGTTTTTTTTTCTTACTATAATACTATATAATTTTGGTAGTATCAATTCTATTTAAAATGTTTTGATCTATATACAGAATGCAGAATATCAATATTATTAACTGGGTGTGAAGGGTCTCTTATAGAAGGCCACAGAAGGTTCTCCCGATACTGAATAGAAGAGTCAATACTGATGTTACAGAATAAATAATTATCAGACGGTTAGAACCCAGTACCTTGAGAATTGAAAGTCAGTGCCGTATCTATTGAGCCACCCCACTGCCATCATATTAAACGACTCATTTTAATATCATATCATATTAAACGACAGTC